TCCGACCCTTATATTACCCTCAAGCCCTCCTTTGATTCGGTTCAGAAACGCCTGTGCATAGTCGCACTATCGGGCCACCATGGGAAACACTCTCTTGACTAGGGTTGTCACAAATCACTCGAAGATTTTATCAGGGTGATACCAGGAGACGTCTGCTTCATCTCATTTTAGAACCCTACCTAGAAGACCCTCTCTCTCTCTCTNNTCTATCTATCTATCTATATACATATCCATACACAGTTATAAATCTGCTATAGAACCCTACAGAGAACTTGCGAACCCGAAAGAAAAGATGGCACTGGGTTCCCTGCAGCCACAAATCCCAAACCCAAAACCCCAAAAAGCCTGAAACCTAATCCCAGACCTGGAACTTGCAATCCCAAAAAACGCATAGCAGAGTTCCAGAAATCGGAGGAGCCGAAGATGGAACACCAATGGTAAGTCAAAAATGGGAGGCACAGGCCCCGAATCCTAAGTAAAGTCGAATTTCTTTTGCAACCCCTCCCCCCCATACATTCGAGATTCAGCCTGGCATCTCTGGCATTCAGAACCTAAAGATCGTGCCTTTCTGCTTTTATGCTTCAGGGATCTTCAGGGTTTAGGGTTAAAGGCTTCGTCGTCAAACGAACCCCCAGGTCTTCAAGCCGTCTCGCGGTGGAGGTTGAAGATCTGCCCAATTTCGAGCTACACCTTTACAAACCCTAAACCCGCAAAAGTAGGTAAAATAATGGCCCAAAGCCCATAAAAGGCTATTATTCTACATACTTTTGGGGTCCGGTTCCTTTTTGGGATTACCTTATAGGATTCTAAATATATGTATATATATATATATGTATGAACCACAAAAAGGAACTACTTAGGGGCCTATGAGTACACCTTTACAAGCCCTGTTTACGAAAAAGCCCTGCAGCCGGAATCAAATGGAGGGCTGCTACTGCTTTGACAACGGATGCGGATCTACGCCTACTGCTACCCTATGCCGGGATCTATGGGGTTTAGGGTTTAGGGGTTAAGGGTTTAGGGATTAGGGGTTAGGGGTTTAGGGGTTTAGGGGTTTAGGGTTTAGGGTGAAAGCCCCATAACATTTAGATTTTGATCCAACCTAGCCACAAATTCAAATCGACGATCCGGCTCGGAAAGCAGGCAAGCACGTGGTTTCTCCAATGCTGGCGAAAGCATTGCAACAGTAGTGGACAGCTGTCTTTGAGGTCCAACTTCTTTGCTCATAGTGTGATTGCAAAGCAACATGAATCACAACCACGCGCAGGACAACCTGCCAAGGGCAATGAACGCCTTGAGCAGCTGCGGCTGGAACTTTATGCGTTTTGCTCCGCTGTACTCGTATGCGGCCACCTGTGTAGTTGGAGTTGACACTTGTGTGTCTGCCATATAAACCCTAAACCCTAATTAAGCTACACCATAAACGCCGAAACGCTGCGTAGGAAGTTCGACCCAGCGAAGCGTCACGCAATTTCGCTGGCCACCACGAAGGTCCACGGATGCAAATGTTGCAACAGACTTTAACAAACAGTATATGGAGGCCCAACTACTTGGTAATATCGTGCCTTCGAAGAAGCCGAGCAAGTTTGGCCCTTAAACGCTGGACGAACAAAGCCTTCGGAGGATTTGGCTGCCACTTTGTGCATCCTCCTCCTCTGTACAATGACTGGTACGACGGCTTTGGGTAGCTCGTGTTGGAGCTAAGCTTGTGGAAGCTTGAAAACAGATGTTATGAGCCCCAGCATGCTAGAGCCCATGTCGGGGTATGTACTCCACGCCTACACCTGGTGAGGCCTCATTCAACTCGCCAGCCGCTTGGTCTTCTAGATCCCATGCGACCTGTCGCGGTTTAGCGTTCAGGGCTGTCGTGTTAGGGGGCTGAGAGGATTTAGGCTCCACGGCTTTCTTTTTAAGGGGTTTGGGTGTTTTGGGGTCTGGAGTCTTGTTTCAGGTCCAATCGGAATCACATCTGCGCCATTCCTTCTTCGCCCCAAGAAGGGATGCCCGGAGGACCGGCCTGAGTCATGGTCCTTCATGAACTACATGTCTCTTCTGGCATGGGTGCAGCAGGGGATCGCAGCAGCGCGTTTCATCCTAAGCTGGGCACCGACAGTTCGGCGATGCACGGAGTCCACCACTACCAGAAGGGTTTAGGGTTTAGGGTTTTAGGGTGTAGCACTACATGCTTGGATGCGAAAGAAGAAGTTTTTTTGAAAAAACACGATGCTTGGGGGCTTCAGTCCCTGAAACTCTCTAGTTGCATCCCCAAGATAGGAACCTCGTCTAATCCCGTTCTTTCAACGGAAACCATTGCAACTTGACAGAAACCAAACCCAGCAAACACAGGTGTGCACCAGCAGGGTGAAATTTCAAGAAATCGTTCACACGGTCGTGATAAGTTCTACAGTGTTCTCTGCATGAAACAGTGGACGACGCTGATTTCTACAATGCAATACCAACATACTGGTTTGCGCTTAGTCTCCATAGGGCCTAGGTCAGGAATGGAAGGATCCCCCAAACCTCATCTCCTTATGTCCCAAATTTCAATTCCTACGTGAATTTCTTGTTCTGGGTTCAGGGATGAGGGTCTGATACTCAGGATACAGTTCGACTACTTCATCTGACATAAAATCGATAATCCTAAGATTGAAACCTGGAACTGGCGACACCGCATACACCGTAGGGTTTAGCTTAAGGTTTAGGGTATCCCCCCAGACCCAGCGTATCTAGTTTGGGTCTGCGGGGAGCGCAGCATTCGGACTCTTTGGGGCAAGCGGAACAAGACCGTGCCCGAACTGGACACTGCAATCCCTACAGGGCTCAAGCGTTTATTGAGCCCCCCAAGCCCTATACAACCCCACATTTCACCTTCTCACAGACAAACCTCATATACACCTTATAAATATCCTGGACCACCAAACACTATTTAAGGAGTCCAGTCCTGCAAGAAAAAACAGAAAACTTTGCACAACCCTTGAACTAGGCTCTCAACTCTAGACCCTCAACCCTACGCTGTGCAAAGCTTCGTCCCGGTCGTCCCCATTCTCGCCAGATCTCGGCGATACAGGAGCACCTTGCTTCCAGCATAGTGGCAAATACGACCATGTCTTGCGGTACTTTGTAGCAGAATACTGCTAGGGAGCCCAGTGATTAGGATTCTACGTCGTCAGGAGCTTGTACTAGGAGCAGCATGTGGTCGAAATGACTTTCCGAGCTTTGCTTTATATGGGGCTATGGTTGAGCGGAGTGCGTTGGCTTTGGGGCCTTTTGCGGGTTCAGGATTTAGGGTTCGAGGTTAGAGGTTCGTTTAAATCGCAGGATGCTTTGGTGCTTGTATCGCGACAAAAACTTGATGCGCACCCGTTTGAACGACATCGGGTTATGGGTGACCAAGGTGCTATGCTGCGATTCTTCCTTTTCGTGGATTCGGCCCATCTTCAAGATCAGCTCCACATCGTCTTCGGCTTCATATCCGAAGCGCTGTTCGAACTCTTTGCGCAGGGACAGCTTTTTCAACTCTTTGCGTGGGGACGGGGTCTCCTTCGTCGCTGTTGGGCTTGCGCCCTTGAGGCAATGCTGAGGGAGCACAGTAGCTAATGTGGAGCTCGTCACCCACACATATAGAGATTACCCTGTCTCGGTGCCAGTGTGCATGTACACGGCAAATGCAAAGCTCATGCAAGCAAGCAAGGAAGCAAGCAAAGTGCTCCTCGTCCTTGTGCTTAGCCTTGTCTTGTTCAACTCGACGGGATACATCCTCCTGCAACAAATTCCAAAATCCAAGGCCAAAGTAAGGCCTACGTGCTACGTAACACTCCTCGTGTTGAACTAGCCGAAGCAACGACTGAAACACATACACAACACGAGCATAGAATGGTCAGCAACATGTGCCGACCATGAGTTGTGCAGAAATCAAGCTGCCCACAGATTGCAATAGAACAAATCGTGCCATACTTCCTGTAGGGTTTAAGGCATTGCACATGGCAATGAGATAAACGGACACAGTGATATACAGCTGAGACCTGAAACCCTTCAGCGAAGGACTGTGCCCGATTAGATCTTCATTCCGAGCTCCATGAAGCGGCCATCCGGCGTCGTGCTTTTCATGACCTCCCCATGCAGCAGACTACACAAGGCTCGGATCGTGCTGAAAGTCTCTGTGCAGGTGCCCGACTGTTCAATACCTGTAGCCCAAAACCGAAACATGATAAGCTCATACCTACAGTTTAGTGTATAACAGTATATTTAGTGTATATAACAGTATAACCCCGAATAGATCAATAACCCTATAAAACCTAGACTCACTAACATGTTTTGGATCCATTTGGACTTGCTGGCCTTGTCGTAGACCCTCGAGAGGCTACCGCAGCACCAAGAAGCCAAGATCTTCACGACCATGGTCGAGACAGTCAGTAAGCCCAAACTATTCCTGCAGCGAAGCTGCTCGCTTATCAGGATCCAAAGAACATTTATGATAGCGAAGTCATCTCCTACTCTTTGGTAGGGCTTTCAGAAACAGTGTGTCTCTGCCGGCAACGAAACATGCAGCGACTGCCGTCTACAAGGGCTCTCAACCATCGCCAAGACTCGTCATGACATCAAGGAAGCTTTGCCGACTCAAGGATGCAATGGTTCCGCTGGGTGCGATGACGACGTTGATGCTGTATTCCTAGGTCTGCGGATGAACTGAGGGAACACATCCCAACGCTATCGTTTGGATCAAGACTTAACTGCGAGGTGCATGCGCAAGCTCGACACGGTCTCCACGTTTCACCGTCGCGTACTGGGAGAAATGATGCTTGTTCCGTCCAGCCATCTCGAAATCCAAGACGTAATGCGTGTCGACGAGCCCTCGCCAGTACCTTGCATTTAATTTAGTGGCAACCCGGCGAACAGATCCTGTCGCAACCACACCTTTCCTTTGAACAAAAAGTCAAAGATCCTACAACTCTGAATGAGCGCAGGTACGCGTAGTTCCGGACCTCGAGGGAAAGGAGAGCAGTGAAGCCACTTCTGCGCAAAGTCCTCGAGTTTCGAATCTCTTGGGTACGCCCCTAGTCGCCTTAGTCCTGGGAGTCTTACAAAACCCGGTTAACGGATTCGATTTTTTGCGAAGAGCCGTCCTGTTTTCGCCTGAGAACACAGCGACACCACGCATGTCATCTAAAGATACGCCCATCGACCCAAGCAACGTCGACACCTTGAACACATCATTGCCAAGCACATTCGCATCGGATGAAATGTAGCAAGGTGCCTGGCTAGTATTTTGTCCTTCCTGAGTCGTTCTGTGAACCGCGCAAATGCATCATTTGCCCATGACCATTATGCCATGACGCTTTCTTACATGGCTACACATAACAATACCTGAACATGGCTTGCAAAAAACACTGCTGACAATACTGGCATCGGGATGAGCCCAAGCGCCATCTTTCACCTTCGACTTCTCCTTGCAAAGCTGGTGATGAATGTGATTGGGCGCTTCGCCACGTGACCCCACAAAGAGTCGGCCTTGAATTTGGTAGCCTTGTACAACTTCGTTCGCCATGCCCGGCATGTGATGCCTTTGATACACAGTTGGCTCCAGCAGCAACTCGTAGTTCTCCACATCCGGAACATACTCCACTCTTGCAACGTCACCTGAATTGTCGATGTAAGCCACGGATGTGACAAGATTGATGGTATCCTGGTTTTGGCGCAGCAGTTCTTCCGGTCGAAACCGGCGGCATGGACACTTTTCTTCTGCTTTCCCTGTGCAGGAATCGCCCTGGGAGCAGTACGGCACGTTTCGGGAGTCTATCGTGACATCCGGGTAGCGGAGCGAACTCACCATGCTGATGCCCACGTCGGGCATCTCCAGGTAGCCACACTTGTAGAGAACCTGGTAGAAAAAAACGTAAAAGAAGATCAGGAGCATGAAGCTGTAGTGTAGGCATCCAAGACGATAGTCCTGGACACAGTGGTATCTACGACATGCCTGTTCTTTGTCCCACTTCAACTTTCCAAAACAAAGACTAACAATCACATGCTGCTGCCCTCACTCTGGCCCACTTGTCCCGGATGACCGCATACTTCGGGGCCGAAAATGAACAATCGCAAGGCAATGGCATGAGGAAGCGGAGCGAGGCGCCACCAGGCAATCGACACTGATCCAGAAACGCCAGCTGCACGGAAGGAAGAGACGTGAGAATTTCAGAAAAATGGGGACCCCAGTATAGAACCCCAATCAGAAGGAGCCTTACTCAAGAAGACCCCTCAACAAGGTAAGCACCCCCGGTTTGCTAAACCACACTTGACTGCAGCCGCAGTTTGCTGCATAATCGACTATGTTCTGGGCTTCTATAGACTCCGTAGCCCATGAAGTACAAACATGTGCCGCACCGTAAACCCTAAACAGCCCCAAAGCATGATTCAAACGCAAGAGTCACCCCGAACGTATCCCTCACTGCATTCTTTTGTGCATATCGGGATACCTTTTACATTCCCGTTGAGGGTGTGAGCTACAATGTCCATATACCTGCGCCCCCGTCATACTACATAACAACAAGTTTCATCCAATATGCCGTTGCTGGATTGCAAAGTCTGAACCCTGAAGCTTAAGTCACGAAGCTTGAATTCTGAATTCGCATCCCTAAGAAACCCCAAACGTTCCGAGCGCTGGGGGGCTCCGAGTGCGGGTGGAAGTCTTTAGTGTGGTAACTTAGGCCTTTAGGGTTTAGGGTTTGGGGTTTAGGGTTTAGGCCCCTATTCTTGTGGTTTTTCCAGGGCTTAAAGGAGACAGAGGTGTGGGATCCCCCGAATGAAGAAAAAGACCGTTTAGGGCTCGACTCGTATTAACTAAGCCCCTTTTTGACACTAGTTTTGCACGCTATGCATAAGCACCCTAAGCCTTGCACCCAAAAACAGGACACCCTTCCACATGCATGGCAGCTGGTGATCGAAACATATGTGACACCTCAGTTCTCCCAGCCCTAAGATGGGGCCTTAATGATCAGATTGGGGCTTTGGGACGTATTACGATAGTATAAGGACTCTAATAAGGGACGTTAAGGCAACTTTTCCGACCCCATTGAACCGAGGAGCTGAAAGTCGCCTCAATGGGGGGATTTAAGAACGGCAGGCTTTTGGTTTGGAACGGGCGTTTCCTGCCGAACCCTGAACCTTAAGTCATAACCCCCTTAGAACCTGGGCTTGCTGTCTGCCAGAACACGACAATCCGACTTGTCTCACCCCATAAAACCCAAGTTTAAGTCCTGAAACTCATCAAACCCAGTACCGGAGTGCGACCATGAACCCAAGTCACGAAAGCCAGGGATCTCATTGTGGTATGACTCTTATAAGGAACCAGAAAGAGTAGTATCATCAATGGGCTTCGGGGTTATACGGTTCAGTGTTTATAGTGCCTTGACCGTTAAGGTTAAGTGGGGGTTTCCGAAAATAGGGGGCCCTCTTATAGTACCCTAAATAGTAGTATCCTTACTATAAGGACCCCCAAAATAAGGTACCCCTAATTTTCGAAAAGTCCAAAGTAAACCTCGGGAACTTGGGTAAACCCGAGAAGCTTTCTGCACCTGAAGCTGAGAAACGAAGCTTCACGGGCCAAAATGCCCCCTGTTTCACCCAAAGGGCTTCTTATAAGGGGCTTCCTTTCAGGGTTCGTCTCAGAAGCTCCTCCACGGGATTCTATAGGAGTGCTTTTGGGGGGGGTTTAAAGGCTAACCCGTACACTCTACATCCTGTGGTTATCAACCCAAAACTCCGAACTTCCGCAAGCAGCCAACAATGAAAGAACCCTGAAGCCCAAACCCCGAGAGCCCGAGCCCTCAGCCCTAAGCCCCTAAACCCCTAAACCCCTAAATCCCTAAACCTCTAAACCTCTAACCCTAAACCCTAAACCCCTAAACCCCTAAACCCTAAGACCCTTTCTTGGGCCCAAAACTACAACTCAGAAATCCTAGAGCCTTCAATTCAAACCCTCAAGACCCTCAAAACCCCAAAACGCCTAAACCTAAGCCCTAAAGGGCAACCCTAAACCTAAGCCCTAAATGCGTACTCACTCAACCCTAAAAGGGCCGGGCCTGAAACGAGTTTGGGGAGGCCTCCACCAGAAGACCCTGCATGAACCTAGGGGGGCTCTCAGCGAAGGAGGGTTTAGGGTTTAGGGGTTTAGGGTTTAGGGCTTTAGGGCTTTAGGGGTTTAGGGTTTAGGGGATTAGGGGATTAGGGGTTTAGGGGATTAGGGGTTTCGGGGTTTCGGGGTTTAGGGTTAGTCTTTGGATGTGTAAGGCTGCTTGATGGGGTCTTCAAGCTGACATGGCCGTTGTGAGCTGGCATGAAGCTTTCCAAGTTTTCTAAGGACTGTGTACAGGAATTGCAAGGGCTCGCAGGGCTTCGGAACCCTTAACCCTAAACCCGAAACCCTAAAACCTAAACCCTGAACCCTAAACCCTAAACCCTGAACCCTAAACCCTGAACCCTAAAACCTAAACCCTAAAGTTTCAGGGTCTTAGTTTAGGATTTGACCGCTTCGAAGATAAGGGATCCTGGAGATGAGAGATTTAGTGGCTAGAGCCATAGGCCCCGAAGTAGCTCCTTTTTTTAGGGGTTATGTAGTTAGAATCCTATTAAGGTCATCCCAAAAAGGAGCTACTTAGGGGCCTATGGGTAGAGCCATAAAATAAAGCTTTTGGATTCAAGGTTGCTGATTCTGGCAATGGGGCTTTTCTCTCTTTTCTCACAAACCGGATGCCGGGAAAGTTCAACCTGTCCACAGAAACCAAGCACAGAAAGCCATGAAACTTCGACGCTCTCCTATTGACAAAGTCACAAAGTTGCGCTTAGGATAGTCCATAGTCGGGTCTCGAAGCCTCTGTTGAGAGCTTTGCCTCACGCTCTGAGACTCTGGGGAGTGTTCCAGAACCTGTGGGGGTTCAAGGCTTCGATACCTTAAACCGTAAGCCCTAAGCCCTGAACCGTGGTTTCGATACCTTAAACCGTAAGCCCTAAGCCCTGAACCGTGGTGGGGCTGGGTTCTGAGGCTCGCGAGGATGGGTTTCAGAGTGGCCATGGCTGATGTCGGTGCTTGCAACTATCTGGAATTATCCAAACGATTGGGGTACCCCGACGCCTGCTAAACATCTATATACCCTTGCTCAGCGTTCAGTAAGGCCAAAACACTGAAAAGCCTAAGCCAGTGTTTATGTATAGTGATGACGGTCGAAGGCACCGTGCTTGTTCTGAAAGTCGGGGTTCCCTGCTAGGAAAAAGGATTTTGACTAGAACAAACTCCTCGTTGGTTGAAAGAGTCAAGAGTTGGGGCTAATTTAGGCTTAAAGAGTTTAGGCTATGCGGTTGATGGCTTTCTTCGGCGAAGACAAGACCCACCGAGGAACCACAAGCGCCACTCGTTGGTCGTGGGTTCTCCTCGCGCAGGGTAGCGAACAAGATCCACGTACTCCTTGAAGACGACGCCTGCATTGATAGCACTTGGCACGCCGGGTGGACTGGACTGATTTTTCACCGTATGGGCGACGTTGTGATTCGTTTCTTGGGAGGGAGTTTTGAGCAGAAGACCCTGACCAAATGCCACCAAAACACACAACAACAGAATTGCAGAAAACAATCACCAAACAAACGCAAACAAGTAACAACAAATAAAGTCATGCAAAGACAAACAACTACAAAGACCAAATAATGCCAAACGTAAACACATACTGAAATTGACTAATAGCATCACCCCGCTAACTATATTTACAGGTTACGTTACATTGCATGATGACTTTCATGTTGCATTACATTGGATAGTGACTTTCATTCAATGAATCGCTTGATCACCCTGGCCTCTGCGATGTTGTAGAACAGCAGGAAGCCAGCACCGGAATTTGAATCACTCACAAAAACCACAATGTTCAAACTAACAACATTGAACACAAATAATAGAAAACCAAAGCAAGTAACGTCAACAACAAACAAACAAGGACAAGGTTCGCCAAGTGTGTGACACAATGAGGTTTTAGGCCCAAGATAAAAAAAACGCCTTGAGGGCCTGGGGATCTAGACCGTCGCAGAAGGCTAAGGACGTAAACCCAGCAACACCCGCCAGCCTTTGAAGCTCTACTCTATAACCATCACATACAAAACCGTATGAAGCCCTTTCCAAAAGCCCATGCAACCCTTACTTATGAAGATGATATAAGCCAGTCAAAGCCCTTACAAAACCCTAAGAAAGGGCGCTTCACCAACCTTCGTAGACAAACCGGGCCTTCGTTGAATTGAGAACCCCTGGCGGCGACGAAGTCGCAGGCCAGCTCGGAGAGGTCGCCGTCGACAGGCACCTTCATGAAGCCTCGGCTGGGTGGGATTTCTGGGGGGGCCTTATACCATAAGATAAAAAGACTCATAGGGACTAGACGAAGCCTCGGTTGGGTCGGTTCGAAGGCGTTCCTTATCAGGGTTTGGTACGGCTTCAAAAGCCCTATACCCCAGCCCGTGTTATGCAGATGTTTTCAGTATGTTGAGGTCTCGGTTCCAGTCTTTCAAGCAAAGTTTAAAACATAGTAGAATACAAAACTCATAGAACATACTGGTATCATAAACTACCACCCGGAATCCAATCGGTTTAGTGCTGACCACCTAGCCGTGTTTCTACGTCATTCTCCCTGTGGAGCATCCCGTAAACCTCCCCTTCATGACACCACCAATCTCTGAAACAAACGGCCTCATCATCCTCATTAGGAAGTGCGTTCTGCCGCTGGAGAACTTTTACTAGGCTATTTAGTATCAGCTTTAGGGGCGGCATGTCAGGGTGTTACTGGGCTTCCCTGCATGCTCACTACAAGACGAACTTGCAACGGCACAGTGCACCGACGATCCCGAACCCTAAACCCCCAAAGAGCCCTCGAAGTCCTCCATCCTCAA